CTCCTGAAGATGAACCTGATATGGGGAAGAGAAGGGACTGATACCTGCAACTGGACTGAAATGGTAATGAACTTTTTCTCTCTTCAAAACTTATTCCCAAAGGGTCTGCTAACAAGGTAGCCACAGCTCTGCCTGCTCCTTTCCCCTCTGATTGATGCCATCTATGTGGGTCTGTAAGCTGGCAATGGATCCCAGCTGTGAGGTTAGGGTGGGGATCTGAAGTTTGTGGTGATTTGCCTGTGAGGATTTGGCCAGCTCTGCTGCAAGGTTGCACACAGGGTATCTGACAAAGGCACCTGAGGAGTAAGGAGTCTGAGATGTAAGTGACTGAAACTCGGTGCAGATGAAACCACCACGTGCAAGGTTCAGTGCAGGCAGGGATGGTGGAGAGATCAGTTTGTGGGGCAGGAGATGGGGTGTAGTGCTCCTGGCAGTGGAGAAGAGGCACGTCCTGTTCTAAGGACTAGGCAGCTCAATGCCTGCTGGGTTTGCTGTATTAGAAGACTGTTGGAAAGACTGCAAAATAAACTGGAATGTGATCCAGCAGGAGCTGTCCATTAACTCTTTGTAGGACCACAGAAAATTAAGTTTAGGAGAGGTTCATTTCTCTTATCTCTTGGCTTTATTGTGCTAACCAGCTGTTTGCCATTGAGCTAGGCACTGGAATCTAGTGCAGAAGCTATTTCCATGTACAGCAAAGCCAGAGCTGGTTTGACAGTGGACAGAGCTGTGTCTGCTAAGCACAGTTTAGCCACAGGAATCTGCCTTCCTAACTCCTTCTCTAGGAAGTGGAGCTGGGCAGACCTCTCTAGAGGACAGCAGGCAACTAACAAGTTCTCTAGAGCAATCCTTAAACATGCTTCTCTCCTTTTATCAGCTACAGTAGTGGATGAATGCTCTTAAATGCTCACATGGATAATTGGCTGGGTTTAGTTAATGGATGGATATCATTTTAAAGCTCGCTTTGCTGTGAGTTCCCAGCCAGCCAGCCTGCAGATGTTCTTGTGTCTTCTGCTGGCCCAGATGTTCCTTGACTAAACATCTGTCTTCCCTCTTCCTAAACACAGCTATCCCCCTTCATTCCTATTTCAAGGCATTGACTGGGTGCCACCCAGCCACCAACGAGCAGACACTTCCAGTCCTTGTGTAGTCACTAGAAAGACACAGGACATGACTCATTGCACCTTTATCTGCAATCTGATAGATGAACAGTCCCTTAAAAGTGACACTTTCTTCTTCCTGGCTACAAAGGGGGCCCAGATGTCCAGCTCCATGGGCTTGTGAGACCAACCTCACGCCTGCTGAGGATGGGCTGGGGACTTGGACTGCAAACGTGGAAATTAGGAAAGCAGGAGGGTGTTTCCTGAGGCAGGGAGGGAGGGGGGGAAAGTAGCCTGAGCACAGTGCACTGCATAGAAAATATACACAGTGGAGAATGGGGAACGTTTGTTTTTCTTATTCTTTTGTTTCTGGGTGTTTATAACCTTCTTGGTTCTGTGGTAAAGCCACAGAGCTCAATCTCTTTCAAAGGCAACCACTGCACAGGGTATGGTGGCAGAGCACAGAGTCTGGTTTTGAGAATATCATACATAAAAGCCTTGTTTTGGCGTGTGACATTTGGGTTTTTGAATAGTTTTGGCTACGTTTTTGCTTAAATCTCTGGCTTCAGTAGCACCCGCCTCTGCCGTGTTTTCATCTAAAGGGAAAAACATATTTACTGAGAAAGAAAACTGGCTTTTTAAACAGCAGCAGAAAATCAGATCCTTTTCTTTGGCTGGGACTTCCTCAGCCTTGCCTTTCGTCAGGTTGGAAGGGCAGCAGGGAATATCCTCTCTGAAATAATCAAATTGGCTGACAAGCATGTGTCCTAGTCCTGGAAACCAGTGAAGAAAGGTCTGGTGGGACTCTTTTGATTTCTAATGTGGCTTTAGGACTCATCTCATTTGACTTGTAGCCTTAGTGTGGACATTGAGCTTTTTGCTGGAACTCTCAAGAGAGGGATCAAAATTGTTTGTTAGCGTTGACAATTTTTCTGACTTTGTGAGGTCAAATAACATTTTTCCAAATCAAGAGGGTTTTATATTCTCCATCTGGCAGCTCTCACTTTAAAATGGAGAATATAAAGAAAAAGCAGCAGATGACAAAGTGCTGCTCCCCTTGCAGGGCTGAGGAACAGGGGTTCAAGTGAAGAAAGTCATGGAAGGACTTTGGAAATGTGAGCTTTGGAGAAGCATTTGAGACTGGTTGCTACAAGATTCAGGACCAGGGTCAGGAGATGGAAACCATGGGTAGGAAACATCCCAAAGCTGGGGTTTGAAGATGCAATTAATGGAGGAGGAAAAACAAGAGAGACAAAGCTGGACATTGAGGAAGAAAGCAGGGAGACCAAAATTGCATCACTCTGAAGGCAAAAGTGAGCAAAGTCAAAGGTAGTGGCTTTCCAGCAGTAGCTAAAGAGTGGATCTTTTTTCTGTGATAAAAGGGAAGGACATAACATCTCATCTCTGATGAGGTGGAGAGAAGATTTTTCCATCTGAAGACAGAAGCAGGTCCTTCAGGATCTCTGTCCACAACATCTGCTTTTCCTCAGCAGGATCACAACGTCTTATTCCATTTTTAAACAATTTTTTGTTCCAATTGCAGCTCTATTTTGGGCACTTTGCTGCTGAGGGCCACTGTAGCTGAAAGGTTTACAAAGGTGTATGCTCTCTGACTGACCTTAAAAAAGCCTCTTGTAGGTGTTTGACAACTTTAATTTATTCTGCATTGCATTTCAAACCCACAGGAGCGAGCACTAATATGCAAGTATAATGGGGAAGAAATTCCTCATTTAAATGACTGAGATCTGGGACCCATCTTGTGTGAATGAAACTCAGTTGAATGAAATTCTTTCTTTTGTGAGTTTTAATCCTTTCCAGGTTTAACTTGCAAATCTATTCAGGGTGTTTCTGTAAGAGGAATACCAAGATGGAAAGGTTGTAGGAGCACAGACCAGCTTTTGTCTTGTGTTTGACCCTTGCCTAGCATACCTCAAGCCTCACCCATGCCTGCAGCTTCCAGGCACTGTTGCTGTGCAGAGTAAATGAGAGAAATGTGATGCTCTTCATGAGAAAATCAGCATTTCTCTTGTCCTCTTCAGCACTAAGGTGTTACTTAAGTTTTACTAAATGATTGATCATCTCATGCCTTAGTTTCCCCTGTTATATATATCACAGGACTTTGCTCTCTCAAAGCACTTTGAGATCTATCCATGCAACTGTTCTGCAAAATAAAGGCTTTTTATTTTCTTTTTCCCCTAATCACATTTATTTTTGACTGTGCACTTTGCCAGAAACCCTCTTGCAAACGTCTATGGCAGGGCCTGTTTACAAATCTGAGCTTCCAATGCTGGGATGAGCTGAAAAGACTAAGGCAAAATAATATGAATAGCACTATAGCTGATTTTTGACCAGTTTGACCTGGCCCTTTTCCCTTTTCTTTGCTGATGTCTGTTCCCAGGTCTCCTTGTTGATTTCCTTAAGGGATTAAAAATGGAATTAAAGGAATTAAAAATGGAATTAAAGGACTCAAAAAAAGGAAATTTAACAAAAATAGGGTTTACAGCCACAATACTTCAGGCAGCACTAAAATCAAAACCTTAAATTGGTAAAAGGTGGTGTTTATACCTTAGTGTATTATTTGTAGGGAGAATAAAAGAAGTTTAAACATTGGGAGAGAGATTGAAAATAAATGCAGGAAGCTGAGGAAAGAAGAGCTTAGAGATGCAGTGGAGAATGTGATGCCCTGCATTTATTCACTCATCAGAGAATTCAATCAGATCAGATAGTACCAAATGCAACCGCTCTGACACACCTCGTGTTTTTCCAAAACCCAGAAAGATTTCTGATAAACGAGACTCTCCAGCAAGAAAGCTCAGGACGTGTCCCAGGCACAGTAATACAGAGAGTGTGGTGGGGGGGATCTGACTCATCCCAGAACCGATCCTATTTACACAGCCCTGGCGGAACGTCTCTCGGCGATGCTCTTGCACGCAGCACGTGGGCACCAGCACTTCACTGGGCAAACAAAATGCCCCCGTGAAGGAGAAAGGCACAGACTTTGCTGGCAAAATACTTGGATGGGAAGAAAATCATCTGGAGGTTAAATATTTGTCAAAGTACTAGCTGTGTGAATGAGTTCAGTTGTAAACATTCTTCTCTGGAGGTGTCCAGCCCCTTGTAAAATTCACAGCCCCTGCTAGAGATGCTCCATCAGCAGTTATTCCATCTGAGAACCTGCCCTAGGGTTGTATCAGCTTACACCTCTCAACCTGGACCTCTTCAGCAGACACCAAAGGGAGCAGGACATTTATAGAGCTCTGAGAATGGAAGGTATTTTTTTGTCCCTTTGAACAAGGCAGTTTAAATTCAAATACACTAATCCATCCCCAGATCGTTTCTCCACGCACACACTCGTTACAAGAAATCAGCCAAATAGAAGCAGTTCCACAGCTTATAAATGTGTAAAATTATGCTGAATGAATTAGCTGCCTCCGTTCACAGTTTTCAGGCACTCTTGGTCGGGAGGCGTGGCTGCAAGAACACTTGGTATCTATAGTGGCACCTCTTAACTAATAGCATTGCCATCAGTTTTACCTACAGAGGTACTGACATTTCAGTGTCTATTTTTATACTTCCTAAATTTACATGCAAAATGGAAAAAAGAAAAAAAGCCAAATTCGAAGAACTACCTAAGGCTGCTTTGATCTGCCCACTGTTCCAACGGTGGGTTGGAGGTTACTCAGACAAAAAAATATCCTGCAGTTCTCTGGACTGTCAGCAGTTGATGGTTTGTGGGCACAAACCCTATATCTCTCATTTCCTCAGAATCACAAATTCCTTAAGCTCTTAACAACTTTCCTCACCTGAATGGAGTCAGGATGTTCTGAACATCCTCCAGCAGCCACCACAAAAAAGCGAATCGTATTTTCCCTTCCCAAAAAAAGCAGAAATAGTCTTTACCTTGCTCGCTGCCCTTGATGGATCCAAGCAAGAGCCACATCAAAAGGCACTTGAGCTCCATGGGACTTGTTCACATCTTTTCTCCGCAGCACTGAGGATGATGAGGTTTCTCAAAAGCCACGAGCTGGTGTCACCAAGCTAAGGAGTTGTCTATTGCCTGGTCAGAGCTGGGGTGGCATCACCTTTCTGCACAGCAAGGACCTTGCTCTTTGGTCAGCAAATCATCCTTTCACCACCCGGCTCTGCAGGAGAAAACAAGAGCTGCTCTCTCTTCATGTATTAGCAGCTTTTATCCAGGAAATCAAACTTAATGCTCAGTGTGGTGGAGTGTGCCGTGGTGTGGAGGAAGTGGTTTGACACATCAGAGCTACTGACTCCAGAGCTGTTCCACTACCACTGAGGTCAGTAGAAAGGGGCAAGTTTTAATGTGTTTGTGCAGCAACCCAACCCCAAATCTGTGGTTGGACAGACCATCACTGTGGGATACTTCTGCAGCGTAGAAGAGTGGAATTCAGACACCACCTGTGGGCTCTGCCTACAAAGAAACGGTCCCGTGGGTTATTGTTTTGGCTTTTTGGATGTCTTCACATGCTGATGATAAAGCCACAATCCATCTGAGTTTTGACACGTCCATGTTTGTGGTTCCTCTCAGCGACAGCTGAGCTTCTGAAGAATGGACAGTTTGATCAAAATCTATGAGGATGAGGCTGGCAGGTTTGGAAAGGTTTTCTCTTGCTTCTGAGTTGTCTGGGTTTGCCAGGCTTCAGCAAAATCCATTCCTCTGAATGTCAATGGAAAGCTGGAAATGATGAAGAAAATATCACAATTTGTGTAGATTTTTCATTAGTGATTTCCACAGAAATTATCTGTTAGCACCTAGAGAATTAGTTGGGATGGACTATGGAAAAGCATATTTAAGGTGTCTGTGGCATTCTATCGTTCTTATTACATGCTGGGCATTTAATTCTCCTTTATAAAACCTTAATGGATGACATTGCCCTAACAGGCATGCTAAGAGATGGGATGTCTTTGTAAATGCTGCTGTGGCACAGAGAGCCAGTAAGAGACCAGCTGCTGTGGGTAAAACACTTTGCTCACCCTGCTCCACAGCTATTTACTGCCTTTGCTTTAGCACAAAACCATCTTCTCTGTGTAATAGCACAACAGGGAACACTCACACCAAAGTCCACAGGAGGGCTTGGAGAGATTTGCTCTTGAAACATCTGTCTGAAAGTCTTAGATCCCAATTCTTCACCTTTTTTTCAAGATCCCTAGAGATATGCAACTGCTTATGTAGAACCACAATCATTAGGGTTGGTAGAACGTATGTGTTATATTGCTGAGAAAGAAATCCCAGACTTTTTGTCACAACTCATCCTCCCCCCAGAGAACATGGGGTCTGTTCCATGGAGGTGCAGGGATTTTATACCAAACATCTCCTATTTCTTGCCTGGTCAAACTTCATAACTATTTGCATGATGGAGACAGAGACAGGGGACCTTTCCTGCAGTCCTTCAGCTCAATCTGCCTCTCTTGGCTATTCAAAATCCTGCAGCCAATTAATGACTGCAAACTCTGGGCAGGGAGCAGCCGTTTGGACTGCAGGCACAGATTCCCAACAAACTGAATTTTTCCACTTGGAAGGAAAAGGTCCTTTCTTCAGCAGGTGAGCTGAGACACGTTCCCTCTTTCATGTAGCCGTTTGCTTTCAAGCAGCAAATCTCAGCGTAGGTGGATAAGATCCACTAAGATTTTATTAGAAATGGTGAGTTTTTATCCTAGCAAGAACGTTCGATGTGCAGGGGGTTGTTCTGGAAGGAACGGTGACCCCAGGTGGCTGTTTCCTACAAGCACAGTTTGCATGAGAAACACCCGTACCTCTGCATTTAGACCTTCTAAAGGTCACCAAAAAAACCTGGTTACCACTTGTGAGAGCAATTAGTCAGGTCAGCTTTGTGAAACAGGTCAGCTCGCTGAATGATTCCAGGAAAAAACGTGCTGCTTCTCACTGACCCAGAGCTGAGTGAGGCAGGGGTGGAAGGGTGAGAACAGAGGGGGTCAGCGGAGGGGGAAGTCATCTAGGCACAGAAATGAAATGAGATTTATGAGAAAAAAAAACATCATTTAGATGATTAACATCAGATGTTAGCAACAGAGGTGTGTGGCAATAAATGAGGGGAGGCACTGTGAGAACTCAGCGGAAAGCTGGAAGGTGACAGAGGGGAATAGGAGCATCTTTTTATGGTTCTTATTAAATAGTTCTGTTTCCTGTCTTCCTCCATGAGCTGGGCAAGGGGATCGAGGGCTCCCTCAGTCCATTATCAGATGATGTCAAGTTAGGTGAAAGTGTTGATTTACTTGAGGGTAGGGAGGCTCTACAGAAGGACCTGGACATGCTGGATCATGGGGCTGAGGCCAATGGGATGAGGTTCAATGGGGTCAAGTGCTGGGTCCTGCACTTGGGTCACAACAACCTCCTGCAGTGCCACAGGGCTGGGGAAGAGTGTCTGGAAAGTGTCCAGCAGAAAAGGGCCTGGGGGTGTTTGCTGACAGCCAGCTGGAGATGAGCCAGAGAGTGCCCAGGTGGCCAAGAAGGCCACCAGCATCCTGGCTTGGGTCAGCACTGGTGTGGCCAGCAGGAGCAGGGCAGGGATTGTCCCCATGGACTGGGCACTGGGGAGGCTGTGCCTCAAATACGGGGGTCACTTTTGGGCCACTCACAACAAGAAGGACTTTGAGGGGCTGCAACGTGTCCAGAGAAGGGCAAGGAAGCTGGGGAGGGATCCAAAGCACAAGTCTTGTGAGGAGCAGCTGAGGAACATTGGGTTGTTTAGCCTGGAGCAAAGGAGGCTCAGGGGAGACCTTCTGGCTCTCCACAGCTCCCTGAAAGGAGGCTGGAGCCAGGTGGGGACTGGTCTTTTCTCCCAAGTAACAAGTGATAGGACAAGATAGTTGCACCAGGGCAGGTTTAGGTTGGGTATTGGGAAAAATTTCTTCCCTGAAAAGCTTGTCAAGCCCTGGAAGAGGCTGCCCAGGGCAGTGGTGGAGTTGCCACCCCTGGAAGTATTTAAAAGCCGTGTAGACATGGTGCTGAGGGACATGGTTTAGTGCTGGACTTGGCAGTGCTGTGAAAATGGTTGGCCTCAATGACCTTAAAGGTCTTTTCCAACTTAAACAATTCTATGATTCTATGCTCTTAAGCATCTAGGAAGGTGTAGAGGAAAAAGAAGGTGCTGGTGTCTCTTGCTTTTTGACTTTACCATTGACCACAAGATCTTTGCTGCTCAGAGAAGTCCTCTCTTTCAGCAGAGAGCTGGGAGGAGAAGAGCCTGTCACGTGGCCCAGGTCACCACAGACAAGATTATGAAGATTATTTTCATACAATGCCACAAGACCAGGAAAGGTGCAGAAATGGAGCTGCCAGGGAGTAAAACACAAACACGGCTCCAGCCTCCTTTAGGTCGAGGTTTAACAAGGACCTTTTTAAATCCTGCAAGTGCTTTTAAAACTCTTCAGTGCACACACTCGTTTGGTCTGGGGGTCGGAGGAGAGGAGGCTGTAAGTAGATCTTAGATTGTGTCTGGTGCAGTTTAATCTGATGGGGAAAAAAAGCAGAATCTTTCAGAAGCTGGGGAGAAAACAGAAATTTATAGAAGTTTGCATCTTCCAAGACTCAGACTTGTCCCCTTTACGATACCACGTCCAACAAAATTGAGTGATATTAAGTTTTCAGTGGAGCATTGTTTATTTTATAAATCCAATGATGTTGCAAGTAAAACCAAGACAGCTTAAAAAAAAAGAACATGACTATGAGCTTATTGCAGCCAGCTCAAAGTAGTGGAAATAGCCACATAATTCACTCAAAGAAGCAAGCTTTGTGTTTTCTTTCTTTAATTCAACTTTTCTGCTGTGAACCACTCTTAACCTGAACCCTTTATTCATAGCACTTCATATGGACCTTGCCAGGATGTCAAGGTGGCTCTAATAGCTAACTAAACTCTGTTAATCAGTATATTGCTTATACGTGCTTGAATTTATGGTAATAGTGGTTGTAAATTCACTTTATTTATTTTTTTAGTTGAGAAGAAATGCATTGGGAATTTTGCCTTAAGCATGGGACGTGGTGCTACTCTGTGCTGACAGCTGAAGCTCAGACAGCTACATTTTGCACTTAAATTGGCCACTCTTGGCTTTCTTTACAGATTACTTACAGGATTATGGTTAGTATTGTCAAGACAAGTCATTACAGATGCCATGCATCCCTTTGCAGCTCTCCTGCAAAGCAGAGGCATGGGGAAGCCCTGGTCACACCACGTGTTATAAAGGATGGTCGGAAATTTTCACCCAACCTAGTTATTTATAACAGCCAAACTGTTTTTAACTGCTTTTTATTTCCCATAAAAGTGAGACAGAGCTGACGTGAGGTGCACGAATGTTGTGTCTCAAATAGAGCATGTTTGCAAGGTCAACAGGTTATTTAGGTTCGAGTCAAGAGAGTTGTATGGTCAGCATAGTTGTCAAAGTTCCACCTTGAGTCAGTGGAGAGAGTCAAAAAGTGCACATAGAGAGTGATTCACCTCTTCTTTTGGACATCTACATCTACTGGGTGAATCACCCACATGAACTTCTCTCCCTCCCTTCTGCAGACAATCGTTAAACCAGCATATCTAGTTTAAACCAAACATGGGTTTTTTAGGCTTTTCTGCCTAAAAAAAAACAGCTGGATGAGAAAAACCCAGCCTGAAAATGAATACTGAATTGGAAAAGAGAATTTAAATTGCTTATTTGGTGATGGAGAATAGTCTTCCCTGTCAAACATCCTGGATGTGGTTCATTATACCCTTATCAACTGATGATAAATATGTTCTGTGATAAATATGTGAGGACCATACTCAGTATTTAGTGTTGGGCTAAATCCCTCAAACAAATCACTTTATGACCTTTATCCACTGATGATTCTCCATCTCAAGGCTGTGCATTGAAAGGTACCTGGTGTATTCCTATCCCTCAGCAGATACCAGGAAGGTTTCATCCTCCAGTCCAAAGAGGAGAGCAAGGATC